CCATGGCCAGAGGAGCCTGGCGGGCTACAGTCCATGGGGTCCCAAGAGTCATATATGACTTAGTGTTCAAACAACAGCAACAAGAAGGATCTCCTTTAGATGTCGCAAGACAGGGAGAGCCGCCCGCTTTCGTAGAAACTGTTAGCCAGTTTCATCTGCCGTGGCTCAGAGCGCCAGTTCCCTCTGACCTTATTGTCTACTTGGTTCTCTGCCCAGAATCGCGTGTACGCCACTGTCTGACAGCATGTTTTTTAAGTCACTTTCGTGAGAGAGAGGCCTCACAGAAGGGTAGGAAATAGAGTTAAATGTTCCCTATGTGCTGCCCTAATGTTTCTTTGCTGTGTGTTCTGTAGCTTTTAAAGAGGAAGGTGGCAGAGTTATACTGGAAATGTAAAAAAACTGTAATAGAAATAAATATATATATATGGTGATAATATTATGTAAGCATAATAATTTACAAAGGCACGAAAAGGATAGCCTAGAAGCCATATTTTAAGGAAATTAATGTTGGTTTGCTTGTTTTCTTACTTCCTTTAGGTTCTTGATTTTTAAATGTCAAATATCTTTGTACAGTGCCCTTTTAATAGGTATATTCTTTGATACAGTCAAATCACTGAGTAGTATTGTAAGCGTATACTTAGTACAACAATCAGCATTTTTCTTAAAATCACATATGATTTCTCTTTGTTTTTGTTATTATTGGGCTTCCAAAATGTATTCTCATTAACTTTCAGTTATGTAAGGATTTCAGAGGACAGTTGAGGCCATCTTCACCACTTGTTTTCTCATAGAGTGGCTATCACTTTCTTTAGACTTGGTCCCCAGGAATTCTTTTATTGAGGTTCTTTTCTAAATGTTCTTTGACCTATGAAATTTGTGAGGTGGAATGCTCTCTCACATTTGTCTCACTTTCTCGGTAACTGAAATAATTGTGTGGAGAAAAATCAGAAATGAGTATCTGGACTATCAGAGAGCTATCAAATATTATAAAAATACAACACACTCTCATATTAAATAGTTTCATTTTTCTAAGAATCCTTGTCATTCAGTTCTCAAGTATCTAAGAAAAGATTCTCCCAAATCTAGAATTTAATTTATATGATAATTATCTAGCTTCATTTATTTTTTGTTTCTGTGATCACATTAGCACTGGGATTGCCTACTTGATAAATTTCTGTTTAAATGAAAGAGAAAACCTTCATGTATTTTCTGGATCTTACTGGTTGGTGTGGGGAAGTTCTGTTAGGAATGGACTTACTTTGGTGGGAAGATAGACTGAGCTGTGTCTTTTAAATTGTCTACATTCAAAGAGCCAATGACTGGTTTTCAAAATATTTAAATTATTTTATAATGTTGAGTTTCATTGTGAAAAAGGAAAACCTAATGAATGTTAGGTCACTCTTCATAACATGTAAGTCAGTCAAAATTAATATTAAAACAGGAAATTCAGACTTTCATCTGGGATTTACCTGGCGATTTGTTTTTATCTGTGTGTAAATGCTATTTGCTTTTCTTTTCAGAAGAAAAGAAAATAGATTATTCCTTAGTGGTTCAGATCAAAAGCAGAATTTTAATGGAGTGCCAGGGTTGTAGGTTTAGAGGAAATGAGAACTTAATGTGTGTCTATTGTGTCTATAGCCACAGAGGTGAATTGGAGATGGTAGCTTTAATTCCCATGTTTGTAATAGTCCTTTTGTATTTCACAACATGTAAATTGTTTCAAAATTGAATCTTCAGCATAAAGTCTCCATGAAGAAGAAATATCATACACTCAGTTTTTCCCTGGTTTTGCTCCTAGTTTAAGGAAAACAGTTGGACAGGAGTGAAAGTGAAGTGAAGTCGCTCGGTCGTGTCCGACTCTTTGCGATCCCATGGACTGTAGCCCACCAGGCTACCCTGTCCATGGGATTTTCCAGGCAAGAGTACTGGAGTGGTTTTTCATTTCCTTCTCCAGGGGGTCTTCCTGACCCAGGGATCGAACCCAGGTCTCCCGCGTTGCAGTCAGACGCTTTACCCTCTGAGCCACCAGGGAAGAGAAGCAAATAAGGATTTTACTTTTTAACTCTGACTTTGCTTTACAATTAGCCTGACCCGTCTCTCTCTGCCTGCTGTACTGTAGCCAGCGTGGGACCATTTACAAAATACTCAGTCACTGCAGTTCTTGCATTTCTGCCTGAGATTAGAGTCAACGTTCTGAGTGGGAAGAATGGGATTTATCATGCTTGTTTGGAAGGAGAACTCGTAAGGATTTAGGTGGTGGTGTGTACTGATTATCTTTTTTCACTTAGATTAAGATTTTCCTGGTTTGTGGTATGTCAGGTGATTTTTGACTGAAGCTTCAACACTTTTGTATTATATTAGACTGTAAATCTTTATTGAAACCCTTTGTTTTAACTGGCTTTGTTTGACAGTTCTCCAGGCAAGGAGGCAAAGGGTGCTGCCTCACTAGTGCCAGGAGGTTAAAAACCCAGGTTCAGCCCTTCATCCTCTGTTGGTATCTCGTGGCAGAAACAGAGAGAGGGGTCTTCGTTACTCTGGGCGTAGTTCGATCTCCAGACCCCCACGTGGTCTCTACTGACACCATAGCGGATGGAGGTTGTCTTGTTCCTCTGGGCAGTGGTTTGGTGTGATCCCACTTTGGGGAGGGAGGGAGAAGAAGAGATGGCTCGTTACTGGGTACGGGTGGAAGTCCAGGCTCCCCTGTGGTCTCCGCTGACACTGCAGACGATGGTTTGTTACAGGTGGCATGCAGGAAGGTTCCGGCTCTCTACTTGGTCCTCTCTGACACCACTCTCCTAGGGATGGTGGGGCTCCTCATTAGAGCTTTGTGAGGGTAGACATCTGATCTCCCCACTCAGCCTTTGTCGGCTTGGGTGGTCATAGTTTCTTCTGCGGTGTTTGTCTGGAGTGGAGCAGTTATCATCTAAAAAGTCTTCTGTTTTGCTAGCCTGTCCGTTTTTGCTCGTTTGACCAGAGGGAGCAGGCTATTTGTTGAGGCTTTATTGGTCTGTGCTTGTTGATGTTTTTGGGTTGGCGACCACTTCAGCTGCAAGTCAAGAATACATGAGACTAAAAGAAAACTCAGGGATCCTACCTCCATGTTGTTTCTTAGGTCTTGAGGGCCCACACTGGTCTACTTTCTTTTCAGCTTGTTAGTCTATCCATGTTTTTTTTTTTTTTTTTGCCACCCCACATGGCATGTAGGATATTAGTTTCCTGACCAGGAATCGAACCCCCTGCAGTGGAAGCGTGGAGTCTTAACCACCAGACCGCCAGGGAAAGTCCCTCATGTTTGTTTTATATACAACATTCAGGGTATTTTTTATTTGTATTTAGCAGGAGAAATAGGAAAAAGTAAGTCTATTCCATTTTCCTAGAAGCTGAGGTTCTTGCCATTCAGTATTTGTTTTATTTATCCTAGTATTTCCTAATATTTTATTTTAAAAGTTTTGAAGATGGGAGAATTATACAACTAATCACCACACATCCACCACCTAGATTCAACACTTAGCTACATTTTACTATATTATAAATTTATCCATCTCCATTCTATCCATCAATTTATTATTTTTGATGAACATCAGTACACCTCATCGCTATCATCATGCATGCCATTAATTGGACTTTACTATTTATGGTTTTTTAAAGGTAGATTTTACACAAAGTGAAATACACAATATCATAAATACCTTTTGATGTGTTTTGTATGCGTGCATGCTAAATCGCTTCAGTTGTGCCTGACAGTTTGCAACCCCATGGACTGTAGCCCTCAAGACTCCTTTGTCCATGGGATTCGCCAGGCAAGAACCCTGGAGTGGGTTGCCATGCCCTCCTCCAGGGGATTTTCCCAACCCAGAGATCAAACCCACATCTCCTGCATTGGCAGGTGGGTTCCTGACCACTCATGCCACCGGGGAAGCACGTGTTTTGTATAGTCCTTCATTGAGATAATTTCTAGGACTCCAGGAAGATCCCTCAGATCTCTTCTCAGTTAATTCCTACCTCCATCTCACTCCAGGAAACACCACCTGTTCTGATTGTTTTCTTCTTTCTTTTCTCCAAAATTCATTTTGCCTTTTTTAGAAACTTCACTTAAATAAAACCACACAGCACATACTCTTGTGTGTGTCGCTTTTTTTGTTTTTTTCAGCACAGTGTTTCTGAGATGCATTCATGTTGTAGGTACCAATAGCTCCTTTTTAAAAAGTTTCTGAGTGCTATCTCATTGCATGAAAAATACCATCATTTATTCATTCTGAGTTGCTTCCAGTTTTTAGTCACTAAAATTTGATTGTTGGGATAATATAAGTTACCACCATCTTCTTTCAGTTATGAACATAGTACAAGGCAACATAAAGTTGAGGGCCTTTCTTCTGGTTGACAAAAAGATTGAGGCACATAAAACCATGTTCTGTTACCTAGAACATCCACCATTTCCACATTTCTTGTCATTTGTGATAGCTATCAGTTTATTTGAAGCTAAAAATTTTTTTTGTAATAGAAGCAAAGGAGTTTTAGTGTGGTAAAATTTAAAATTTAGTTTCTCGGCATTAAATTTTATTTTGTGAAGAAAAAAGCCTGGTTTTGACTACACCGTGACTGTCATATTCATTACAGAGAATGCCAAACTAGTCTCTGGAGGAACATCCTCTTTCACTTAACAATACTCTACATCTGCACAAAAATATAGACGTAGTTGTTACAGATGGATTTAGCTGTGTTTCGCAGACCCTTATTTATCCGGCCTTAACTTTGATGCTTCTTTTGCTTCTTTTCTGTTTCCTCAAAATCAGTATCTAAGGGACTATCATTTCTGAGTGATCGATTTATTGATTGATATTAGAAGAGAGCTCTACCAGCAGGGAAATGGGGCAAAATAAACTTTCTGTGAAATTCCAGTTAAAGTGGGTATGCTTCCTTTGAACAGTGCAGGAAGAAATTGATGATGTTGTTTCAGGCTTTTATTACAGCTTTTCTCTGACTTGACTTTTTTTCTACAGTTGATGGACTGGACAAAGCTTCTATAGCAAACACAGATGGCTCAACAGCAGGCTCCCAAACCCCTCCCTTCAAGAGGAAGGGGAAACTTGCCACCTTTGGTAAAATTTTTAAACCTTGGAAATGGAGGAAAAAGAAGACGAGTGACAAATTCAGAGAAACATCAGCAGGTATGAATATCATAACTTTGTTAGAAGATAAATTGTTAAATTTTCCAAAAGGTAAAAGATTGTATTCTGCGGATTTTTTTTTCCCCTGGGAAAAAATTAATCTATATTTGAAATGAAATTATTTCATTTAAGATTCTGATTTGCCTTCTTCTTCTGTTCACTTTGGCTTTTTAACATAGTCTTGTTTTTAAATATGTACTTGTAAATTCATATAAAAATTAATGTGTAGGGAGAGGAAGACAAAGTGGAAAATTAGAAGTGGAAATGTTATTTGTCAGTGTTATAGCTGCAAGTATCCATTTACATACATACACACTATTATCTCTGTGTCTCCTTAGTTCCAATAGCAGAATCCTATTTGTTAATTAAGAATTTTTAAAATGTCTTCCAAACGTACTTGTTCTGTGGGCAAAATTTAAATGGCTGTATGAAAGAGAAGCGTTGCTATATTTATTAATTTTAAATTTCTATCATGTCCTAGGACAAATAGATGGTATGTGTCCTGAAGGACACATAGTGCTATTGGTGTGAAAATTTTTTATCATTTTATTTTGTGGATTTGTTAAGCCGTAAGAATTACATTGTTTAGTACCTTTCATATGGACTCATGGACGAAGTTGGCTTTAAACCTCAGGCCAGAGTTAAGCTTGATTTAAATAAGTGTCCAATATCAGTGATATTTTTTAAGATAGAAAGACATTTTATCTCTTGTGCAAGTTCAGTTTTTTCCATGTTTGTTGTCTAAAGTAATCCCTTTATCAAAAATTCCTGACTGCCCCAGAATCTAGTATTGTCCATGGATTACAGAGCATGTCTTAACGGTCTGTGCTGAGGTAAGAGCTGGCCTTTAGTTCTAGAGCTGTGAAATAAAATGGAAAATACCACCAATAGCACAAGGATATAAGATAGAGACACCAGGGCTTCCTCAAGAAAATTTTCTGTGCTGCATCTACAGCTATATCATTTCTTTGAGCATTTAATATTTAAAAGGTAGTAATGATTCTATTTCTGGGATTTGTTTTAAAATAATCCTGGGGGGAAGGAGAGGATAGATGAAAAACGATCAGCCATAAGTTGGTAATTGTTTAAGCTGGGTGATGGATATATGGAGTTTATTATTCTCCTATCTCTATTTGTGGGTATTGGAAAGTTTCTGTAATAGGAAGACAGGCAAAGAAAAAAGACTTGGCTTAGGGGCAATAATGATAGCTTGCTTATTGAATTCTCTTTAGCTCCTGATTTGCTTCTTGGGTTAGGAGCAGTGGGAAGTGATGCACTGAGCCTGGTGCTACGGCAGGATACCTGGGTTCTAGTTGAGTTCTTGCACCAAGAGGCCGTATAACTTTGAACAAGTTAGATCAGAGTTGAATGAGTTGAATTCTAATGTGCATTCAGTCCCAGATTCTGTTGTGGGTCCTTGACTCCTTTGAACTCCTGTCTGGGCATCTTGTTCTGCCTTGCTCTTCAGTTGTAGATGAAATTAGACTGGCCTTCTTAAGTACATCCCTCTCAGGTTTTCCTAAGCATTTGGGGAATCTGACTTTTCAAGTTACCACGGAAACCCAAGATGGAAGTAAGGCTCTGGACAGTAGCAGTAAGATGACGTTGAAAAGAAATGATGGACATCTCTTCAGTTGTACCTCTTGCCCTTTCCCTGAATCTCCTCTGCTGACTTCTCTCCCTAAAGTAGAAACAGTTACAAAGAACCGCCCTTCATCTTTTTTTTTTTTGTCACCTCTTTTTAATTATTTTAATAGTAGGGAGGCTGTAACATTTCTACCAACCCAGAATATTTAAGAAAAGTCATTTTAAAGAGCACTAAATATTACTTTATATTATCCCATGTTTATTGAGGATAGCCTATCCATCTTTGTATTGTTTCCTTTTCAGATTCACACAAAATTTTATATAAGTTGAGTGCCATGAAGTTATTTATGGATATGCTATTTCTAGTTCCTAAGACTGCTGAATTACATTAAAAACCCGAGAAAGTTATTAGATGCCTCACTGGGTTGTTTTTTGTATTTGCATCAAAATTGTGACATAACAGAGTAAAAACAAGCCAAGTAGATGTATTAATAATTCATTGTGAATTTTTCTGCTGCATTTACTCACATCATTTCTTTTTAAACCCATATTATTACTGATATTTGGCTCGAATTTCCTAAGATGTTATCAATTGTCCCAAGCATTTTGCCATTACCTTATATATAAACATATGTATATATACATATGTTTATTTTAAGGCTTCAATTTCTGCTATGCTTTATGGAATGTATTAGTAAAGCCTAAAATAAAGGGTGGAACAAAATGGTGTAACATGTTTTTTTCACATTGAGGGAAGATGTTACATTTAGAGGAAAACTGATACATTTGGAAATAACCAAGAGAAAGGTGTTCTCTTCTTTAATACATTGTCTCAAACAGTGAAATCTAGGCGTTTGGACATGACCAAGGCCATCTGCAGTCAAAGATCACCTTACACAATGGATCTACAGTATTTGGGGGATATGAAAGAAGATTAATTTCTTCCAAGAAAAGTAACTCTTCTTTGTTTTTCTTTCTTCTGAACTCTTGGCTTTAGAGTCATAAGAATGTGAATCTTACTGTCTTCCTTTACACAGTGATTGTTGCCACTTTTCCTAGTCTGGGTGTTTGTTGTAGGCATTTTTTAAAATTAATTTTCATTGGCGTATAGTTGCTTTACCGTGTTGTATTAGTGTCTGTTGTATAGCAGAGTTTTGTGTGTATAATATATCGGTCATACATATACTTCTATCGTCTCTTTCTTTGGATTTCCTTCCCATTTAGGTTGCCATGGAGCGTTGAGTAGAGTTCCCTGTGCTATAGAGTAGGTTCTCATTAGGTATCAGTTTTATACATAGTAGTGTATATATGTCAATCTCATATAGTGCCTATATCCCAACCTCAAATTCATCCCACCTCCCTTCCCTTCTTAGTAGCGTTATGTTTGTTATTTACATCTGTGTCTCATTTCTGCTTTGCAAATAAGTTCATCTGTACCATTTTTCTAGATTCCACATGTAAGTGATATTACACAATATTTGTTTTCCTCTTTCTGACTTACTTCACTCTGTATGATAGTGTCTAGGTCCATCCATGTCTCTGCAAAGGCATGATTTTGTTCCTTTTTATGTCAGAGTAGTATTCCATTGTCTATATGTACCACACCTTCTTTATACATTTCTCTGTTGATGGGTGTTATTTTAATTGGTGGTAGGTAGGATGCAACACTGATTTATTAGTGCCATTGTAATAAATGTCATTGTTCTCACACGTTAATGGCAGTGGAAGTTAAGAAAGATCCTGTCTTCTGCCTGCTTGGTCATCCTTGAGTCAGTTAGATTTGGAAGGCTGTCTTGTCCTCTCAGGCAGTCTGGGCCTATGCCCTGACTTCAAGTTCTTTGGGCTTGTTTTATAGCAGAAATTTACTTGTGTCTTCAGTTCTGTCTGGGATGATCCGTAGGCTGTTGGGTTTTATGGCAGAATAGTCTTGTCTATTTACTCTCCCTCAGTGATTCTTTTCTTTACTTTTCATCTCGTGAGTGAAAGGACCCTTCTTGGGTCCCACCTAAGCTCTGTCCCTTCCCTATCTTTAGAACTCGCAATCTCATTTACACTTTTCCCCTACATGATCTTTTCTTCCCCTTTTTTGGGAGGGTGGGGGTAGGTAGTGGTGACCGAGGTTCCTCCCTGCTCTCATCTTCCCAAAGCTGATAATACAAACATGCCCCCTGTCTAAACGTGGCTGTTCCTCTTTTGCATGGCCGCTTATGACCAAGACCAGACGTCTGGAAAATCCAGCCTGTACCTCGGATTCTGCTTCCTCCACAGTACCATCCCTTCCATCTGCCGTCTGCCCCTGTGCCCAGCACTCACTCCGTCCAGGAGGCGCCAAGCCTCCCAATCCTGGCGTTCAGTGTCACTGTCTCGTTTTCATCCATCTCATCCTCCACCACTTCTGCCGTTATTGGTGCATCTTTCTTCTTTTACAAAACGGCTTTTATTGACTTTCAAAAGATGCCTTCATTTTGGTTGTCTTTGACTTTTCTTTCTCTTTTGTCCCCTCTCTTCCCCTTCCCATTTCCCCTAAACCCATGGGAGAGGTTTGGTGCCTGTCTCTGCCCTTCTCTTTGTGTGAATGGACCCTTCCTCACCCCACTGTCTTCTCAGCGTGCACATCTCCCAAACCCAGGTTCCAACGGAGGCCCAGGCACATTGACCCAAGTACCTGATGGGCAGCAGTGCCTGAGGACCACGGGTTAACTCAGAATCCACTCATATGGTCTATATAGTTCTATCCATACATTGAAAAAATGGTACATGCCAGGCATCAATTAATTTCCTTCCGGATGTCAATTTTTTAATTAAAAGGAAATCAGATATTTTGGTGAGACTTTTCTTTTAAGAAACACGCATCAGATTTTGCTTTCACACAGTCAGGGGAGACATTCAGTTAAGTTGGACTGTAAGATTGCAGAGTTAGACTGCAAAGTTTTTACAGTGAGATATTTTGATGTCTGAGAGCAGTGCTGTGAATATCTGCTGTATGCCCTGTGGTTTAGAAGAGAGGATCCATGGACCTCTGACCACACTCAGTTCTTCCTCAAACCACTGAGCGATGGGGCAGGTGCCTGGAGTGGTAACCATCTAATTCCATTCCTCCCTAAAGGTATCACAAGATTTGAACAGAGTATGAGATACCAACAATAATCTTTTATGAGAATGACTCTTCAATACTGTTTAAGGCAATGGCACCAGAGACCTTACAACTTGATTCTTTATTCTCTCCAACACATATCCACAGTTAATGCTTAACATTGGCTTAACATCTAAAATGTATTCACTTTAATATCTTTACTTTTTCTTGAGAGTTGGACCATAAAGAAGGCTGAGCGCCAAGGAATTGATGCCTTTGAGTTATGGTGTTGGAGAAGACTCTTGAGAGTCCTTTGGACTGCAAGGAGATCCAACCAGTC